ATAAGCTCGATACCATAGAGCCCCCCCACATAACAAATCCCAATTTAACCCCTGGGTAGAAGTATGAACATACATAAACACATTCGCGCACACACACACACACACACACACAAACACACATCCAAGTATGCAGACAAAACAGCGCATCTCACAGCAACCAGCGGATTCATTGCTGATTGATTCCGTGTTTTGAACGAATCAGTTGAGTCAAAGTTTCATTAGCTCATGCACAAACATCTGATGAATCTGCCGTTGCCATCTGTTCACAGCAAGGTCAGCATAGATTAGCTTTGTCATATATCTCTGTGTGTGTGTGAGTGTGTGTGTGTGTGTGTGTGTGTGTGCGTGTTAGATTGGAGTGATAGACTGGGGTGGGACTCTTTACTTGGCTGGTGGTGACCTAATTTTAGCAGAATGTCAAATTGCAGTCTCCAGCAACGTCCAAAACATTTATTTCCTTGCTTATGAACAACTGAAGGACCGTAGTAAAGTCATAGACACATACAAATGTGTCTGCGTGCGTGTGAGCATCACTCAAACTGCCAATACATGGTAGAGATGCATGCTAAAATGCTGCGTTATAAAAAGCACAATTTTGGCAATTTTGGCAATGGGTATGGCTTGGTCAAAAAGGGACAAGCTCAGCACTAGGTTGTTTTGACCCAGCGGGCTTGGTCACATGTTTACCACAAAATGCTGGGCTGTGTGTGTGTGTGTGTGTGTGTGTGTGTTTCAACTATTGTTTAAAATTAATATTTCAACTGGGTTCAAATTTGAAAATAAACGCACATTTTGTTGTAAATTAAAATCAGCTTAACACATGCAGAAGGACTACAGTAAGAACACAGGCAACAGTAATAATCAGCATATGCAGTTTACTGATAAGCAAAAACAGCTAGAAAAGGACAAAAATATAGGCAAAAGTGTATGTGAGTGAGAAAAACTGCAGAAATGAATGGCAAATCAATAGTTATACAGCTTATACAGTTACATTAAATTGCTTTTTTAAAGTTCAGTGAAAATAATGCTAAATAAATATTGAATAAATTACATTTAAGCCCAAATTTGACCAGTTTTTTTTTTTTTTTCTTCTGCCAGTGAAAATAGTCACACTATGGTCAAAGCTTTAGAGTTTGACTCCTGTCAGGACACACACTAAATGAAAACTTTTAATAAACACTGAAAGTTGAGAATAAACTTTGTTATAGTGAATCAAAATGATTAAATTGCTGCTGTTTAATCGCTCATCTCAAATGCCATGCTTGAGTGGTTTCTGTGTGAGAGAAAACACTCAGACAAAAACCTTCACTTTTAAAAGAGCACATTCATTGTTGCGGGCAGTTTCAAAGTTCTCTCAAAGTTCTCTGGTATTTGCACTCAGAGAATGGATGGTACTTGAATGATGTGCATGCTCTCTTTCATGACCGCATTCCAAACCAGCACCATTGGGTTATATTCCTTTATATTCCGGTTATAGTAAGTTAGCTTAAAAAAAATTTGGGCTTCACTGGCATATCTTAATTACTGATCTGAGAAATACTAGTCATAATTTACAGTTTTTCATATCTCTGTTTCTTTCTTGTGTATTTATTTTAGGTCACTTGCTTGCAAGATTTCTTTGGTGACGACGATGTTTTCATTGCCTGTGGACCAGAAAAATTTCGCTATGCACAGGATGACTTCTCCCTGGATGAAAATGGTTGGTCATAGCTTTTAATAAATAAATGAGAAATGTAAAATATTAATGGTCACACTTTTTTTAAGGTGCAATTATCACTATTAACAAACCATTAACTATGACTTTTTCCTCAATAAACTCCTAATTTGCTGCTTATTAATAGTTAGTAAGGTTGTTGTTAAATTTAGGGATTGGGTAGGATTAGGGATGTAGAATATGGTCATGCAGAATATGTGCTTTATAAGTACTAATAAACAGCTGGTAACACTTTAAAATACCTTTTATTTCATTAATAAATCATTAACAGATATTATATAATGCTTAACAGATTGTTAGTTATTTCATATTCACATATCTAGAAATATGAGATAATGTGCTTATTGATGTTTACTAATGTACTTATTAAACATTACCTAATGATTAACAGATCATTATTTAATCTAAATTGAAATGCTTACTAAATGTCATTAAACATTCAATTTCACTTTTTGAAAATCTTCAAATGATTTTGATAGATGGTTTACAATGATTAAAAGCGTCATTAATAAATCATTAAAAAACATTATATACTGCTTATTTGATCTTTAGTTAATGTCATTACACTTTCAATTCATACGCTCCAGCAAATTATTTTAAAAGGAAGTATAATGATTATTGATTAATGATTAACAGTTAAGCTTTTAATAATTAATAATGTACTTTTGAATGCTAAATGTCATTAAACTTCAGTTCACATATTACCTAATGCTATTTTTTACATTTACAAATGTGAAAAAAATAGCTTAATTAGTCATTTCAAGCACTCCACAAACTATTCATGTTAACATATTATTCATTAACTCATAATCACAGCCTGTAAAGGTCACATGTTGGTTGGTCTTTGCTGGTTATGTAGACTTCTACTACTTACACATCTTAAATCATGTATTAAATATTTGTTCATGTTTTCGCAGTACCAAATCGTGGAAACTATTCATCATTTGTAAATGTTAATAAACGTTTACAAATCATTAGTAGGTTTATGAGCAGTCATCTCAAAGGGAAAAACTGTCCCAAATTACCTTAATTCAACCTATTTACACATTTTTACAAATAATTTATTAATTATTTGTTCATGTTTTTGCTGTACAGGATCTAGTTGAAACTATTCATCATCTGTAAATGTTTATAAATGTTTACTAATCATTTAGTACCTTTATGGGCATTGGACTTTTAGCTACTGTAACGTACTGTAACTGTAATGTTTGTGTAAAAGGTGGTTAGTTAAGTTTAGCTGAATGCTTGCTAAAGACATAACACACATTGTAATTTGGGTGGAAAACATTTTTATTGCCTCAACACTTATATTAGAATACTGCTGTATATCATTAAACAGGATATTTCTTGAATCATACATCAACAGGTACATGTCTGACCCCTCAACCCTATCCATACCACCAAACCTCTTTTTTGCCTTACCCATATCACACCTCAATAGCAGCAAAAGTATTGTGCATTAACAAAAGCTTTTAATCATTGTATAACATCTGTTAAAATCATTTGTAGATTTTCAAGAAGTGCATGATCATATGAATTGAAAGTTTAATGACATTTGTAAGCATTTTCATTTATATGAAATAATATTCTGTTAATCATAAGTTTATTATTAAAATAAGTTTATTAGTGTTACGATCACCAGCTGGAGTGCCCATGAGCTCCTCCAGAGGGCACTCCACCCCAGACTGTTGTCACTCCCTCACTAACTACATTCCTCATAATCCTTTGCCTGGACTCTTGCTCACTGATTGTATTCACCTGTGTCTTGTTACTACCTCCATCAGTCTCACACTATATAAGATGCACTCACACACACACTTGGCTCAGTATTCTGTAATGTGGAGGCGTGACAATGGGGTTGATGGATCCAAGTGCAGGCTTTATTCAAAAGAGTGGTCAAACAGGCAGGGTCACAGACCAGCAAACAGTTATAATCCAGAGCGAGACAAAAGAATAATCCACAAAACAGGCGAAGGTAAGGGCAGACAGCAAACAATCAGAAATGAGGTAAACAGTCCAAGGTCAAGAGACAAGGCTAGGCAAGAAGACAAGGAACTAGGAAACACGGAAAGACACAGGAATTAGGGAACGCAACAGGCTAACAATACTGAGCAATGAATGAGTGAAAAACCAGGCTTTAAATAGGGTGAGACTGATGGAGGTAACAAGAAACAGGTAAATGCAATCAATGATCAAGAGTCCAGGCAAAGGATTGTGGGGAATGTAATTAGTTAGTTAGTTAGTTGGTTAGTTAGTTAGTTCTCCCTCCTCTCCACCTATAGCTGGTACTGTGGGTGCCGTCGCTTCATCCACGTGGATGCTGCACACTGGTGGTGGTTGAGGGGAGACCCCCCTCATGATTGTAAAGTGCTTTGGGTGTACAGCAATACACAATAAAGCGCTATATAAATGCTTCATTCATTCATTCATAGTGAGGGAGTGACAACAGTCTGGGGTGGAGTACCCTCTGGAGGAGCTCATGGGCACTCCAGCCGGTGATCGTAACAATTAGTAAACATTTCTAGCTATTTGAATATGTATTATCTAATGATCCATTAAGCATTATATAATGTCTGTTAATAATTTATTAATGAAAATTATAAAGTGTTACCAAAGGAATATCTACAGTAGTTGCTAATAATCTTTGTTCAGTCCTGTAGCAAAGTTAAAAGCTCAGAGAAGGAGGTAGGAACCGGCAAGCATTTAAACTTTAATTATCAAATAAACAAACACAAAACAATAGTAAAGCAGCAGCTCCCACGGCTCTTGGCCCTGCCCCACTTGTCATAAGAACGAATTTCAGTTCAGCTTTTGTTCCAGTCATTCTACATAGATGGTATTGGTTTTTTTTTGTTTATCAAACAGTGCAGATGAAAATAATCCTTGTATTTTTAGTCCTACTTGATATCAAGCCTTCTATACAGCTGATCACAATCTTTTCAGCCAGACGTCTGGTTATGATTTTCAAGGACAGTGTTAAAGAACAGACAGCTATATTTAAGACAGTTTATAACATACAGTATAACAAGAGCCTATAACATTCTATACACTGATGCCTTTACTATATTGACTGCTATGCAGAATCAGCTGAGTTTAGTCAATTCAATTCAGATATCTGTACACTCTCAGTAATACTTTCAATCTGTATGTGTGTTAGAGATGGTAGTGAGAACAGAAGGAAGATGCATGCCATTGGATGTCATTAATTTAGCCTCTCAGAATCAGGCTTTCAAATAGATTAATGCATTATTCAGAATCACATTTACATATGTAAATAGCCGATGTGTGACACACATGGGTGCAATAAGATTCAGAGACATAGATAAGGTGTCAGACAACGAGGAATGTTTTTGAGAAAGGCAGAAATAATATACTGATTTGTGCCTGCAATAGGAGCATCACCAATGTTGGAGATGTTTCTTTAAAACTGTAGGTTTCAAAGCTGCAAAATACATAGGATTTAAAGTAGCTATATTATAATTTGTATTATTACTAACACTACAAGCTACTAACAAAACAGTGTATCATTTTTTATTTCCATTTTGTCTCCCATTTTTTCTCCACTTCAAAAATGGTAGTGTAGTCAGTAATTTACAAGATTTGTGCTTTTTTTTCCATTCTATATTTTGTTTAATTATTGTTTGCATGTTGTTTTGACAGCATTTCTGAATGTCTCTTTTCACTTTTCAGATTTCTTTATTGGCACATAAATAAATAAATAAATACATGCATACATACATACATACATACATAAAGTTGATAGTGTGTGTAGTTTGTATTTCCATGTTGGAAACGTTGGGTATGGGCACAAAGTTTTTCAAGGTTTTTTTCTCATGTCATGGAATTTGTCAGCAAAAGTTGGTGATTTCTCTACCTTGTTGTATTCTTCAAGGATGCCTTTTTCATCATACTTTTAAAGGCATACCTTTACTTTTGATTTGTCTCTTTTACTCTTGTTGTAGAGTGTCGGGTGATGAAGACCCCCAAAGGACAGAGGGGCTCTACTAAGAGCCCCGGTCCCGTGCGACGCAGCAAGTCTCCGGCTGATTCCAGTGAGCCAATAATTATGTGAATTATGTCAGCTCAACACACTTTTAACTCCATAATGAAGCTGGATGGATGATTGACAGGCTTTCTACAATAATACACTTTATTTTATTCTAAACAGCTTCTCCATGATATTATATTATATTATATTATATTATATTATATTAGCACGCTTATTTTCTGTTTACACAGTTAAATTATGAATGATTATAAATTATCTGTTTGTTTCATGTTTTTATGAGATTTTTAGCTCCTTGTCACATCTTGATTTTTGTTATTCTGTGATAATCTCGTAATTGCTCATGTTTGTGTATTCTTGCATCAGCCTGTGCAATTAACATTATGTATGCATAAATGGCTATTACTTTCAAAATGACTTTAATGAATGATACAGTGCAATATGTTTCATACATGCATTGCTACTTCCAGTAAATAAGCAGATTTTTAAACCTCAAATACCCACTGCAGCAAAACTGCAACATTTGGTTATAGCAGTTAATTAATTTTTTTTTTCCCCCACTAAATGTGGATTACAACTACATACAAAAGCAACTTATACTGCAGTTTTGGATCAAATTCACCATAGCCTAATGAAACTTTAAAGAGTGCTCTGAAACTAACTGAAGTTCTAGCTCACTAAAAAGCTCACTTTTAAAGGTCAAAGCCACTGGACTGAATGCCTCTAAATATGCATTTTCAGCTATTATGCCAGGGATGAGTAGGTTGTAAGAATTTTCCAGGATCATTAATCTTTAGAAAATGTCTGAACATATCCAAATTTCAGATTCTTTGCTTGCTGGGAAAGCTTCTAATGAAAGACTGATCAAAAAGGCAGTCAAAACATATGTACTTAATATGCACAAAAACAAAATATGCACAAACATCATGCCTTTTTATCCACTGATGAAAGAAAGAAAGAAAGAAAGAAAGAACAAACTTCAGTGTTTGGGTCTCTGAGGATTAAAAGATAAAGAGAGAAGACGCCTGTCACACAATTTTGAGTTTTATATACGCAGATAAATTTGCTATGTTACATGTTTAATATTTTTGAGAGGAAGGACCGCTCAATCTTCCAAGGAAGACTGGGCCAGGGGACCATCAACACCATCATTTGGTCATGGACATGTCATTATTACCCTGGCAGGGTTAAATGCAAAGGTGGCTGGGAAAGTGATGATATTTTTAGTGACGAGAAAAAAAATAAACCTTTAATATGTCATCTTTGACCTTTCAAGCCATAGTCAGCAGTGTCATGACTTGCCTGCCATCTTGTGGCAGCAGAATCTCAAAGAGAGCTCTAAATCATTTAAAGTTTGAAGTTGAAGTGTCATTTCTGCACTACTAACTTCACCAAACAAAACTGCAAAAACATTTTCACAGATGTTTCCTGAATAGTTGATACTTTGCGCTAGTCAGAGAAGTCTAGACTTTAAGTCAAAAAAAAAAAAAAAAACTTTACATGCCCCATGCAGACAAGATTTGTCATCATAATTTTTATTGTTTTCTGGATGAATAAAAATGTAAATTTCAAATGTGTATATTTGCTAAAATTGTATCAAATTTAATAATTATTAGGAGTAAATTATTATATACAGTGTAGATAACTTCAAAACTAAAAGCCAGACATGGACAAAAGCAGAAAAGATCAAATAATGATTTCATGAGGTTTTTAATTTAAAGACATGAAGGAAATATTTGTTTCAATGATATTTAATTGTAAGAATAGCTCATTTGTGCATGCTAACATTTCTTGCATGGCCTGCGTGCTTTAAATTAGAATATCTGTATCACTGCACACTCATTGGTGGCTGGACTAACGCTTTTTTAATCTCTTTTCATTTCTTTTCATGTTTCTTTATGTCTCATCCCCCTTGTTTTAAAATCCATCTTGTATGTTTTGTATTGCACTGCTCTCTTTTTGAAATAAATTAACAAAGACATTTTGAGAATTTTATATTTGAGAATTTTATATTTTGTTTAACGTTCATTCCTGTCTTTACAACATCCCTTTGGTTTTTCTGCTAGTTTGTCTTTTTTCATTCTATATTTCACATCATTATTTATTTTTAAACAGAGTTTAAAGTGATTGTTGTTAGGCTATAACATTACATGTGTACTGTATGTAGCTGGTACATGTGTACTGTATGTACACATTTTTTTTCCTATAACAGTATCATCATTTTAGTCAGGAAACCCTCTCTTCTTATCAAGAACCATTTTTAGCAGAATAGGATTGTTGATTTCTTGAAATATATTGTAGGTTCTTCACATTATTTGCTCTTTAAATTACCAGGTATTATATATATATATATATATAATAATACTATAATAACTTGAAACCAGAGTAATAAAATTGTTGGTTAACCTTGGTTGTGAAAAGTCCAAACTCTAAAGCAATGCACAACCAGACATTCATCCACCTAGCACAGTATTCCCACCACTAAAAGCCCAATTTATCACTCATTTTTGTACAAAATAATAAATGTTAAATTTCGGCTTTTACGCCTTATACACTTTCCAAATTGTAAGTGTTTAGCTATGCACAGTTTTCACTGAGGGAATAATCAAAATTATCATCTGTGGCAATTAATTGCATTCACAGATGCAGCTGATAACCCTTAAGTCTTGTTTTGAACTGGGATCATCCCTTTTAAAGGGTTCTTGTGTGCCATCTGGTGGTAAAACCCTTTATGGATCTATTTGAAATCTTTTTGCCTTAAGTTTAATAGATTGTGAACACATAGCAAGGCTAATCTAGAAAAAAATCTGGACCAGTTATGCATTCAATTAGCACATGAAAGGCTAAGATCAGCACTTTTAGAGAAGTTTTATATATCTCCTTATCCAGATTTTCCAGCATCAACTGGCTTTTCTTCTCTGTTTTATTTATTCATTAGCTGGAATGGTTTTAAGGCCTAGCACCTGGTCCTTAGTTGTTGTTTTTTTTGTATTGCTTAAAATGAAAGTTCTGTTTTTGAAACAGCCTTTAGTACTTGAGTACACACGATCACACCAACCTCACATATAAACACAGTTTTGGTGTATCATAGCAACCTGCACTGTTCATAGAGAGATGTGTAAATGAGTTCCAGCATACAGATACACACTCTAGCAGCTGGCTAGACAACAGTTGACAACATGATTACACACAGTAGGAGGGGAGACGCTGCCTAACCCCACAATTTGTCTTTTCTCTCTATCTATCCCTCTCTTTCACATTTGCACTTTTACTTTCTCTCTCTAGCTAATGGAACAGGCTCCAGTAGTCAGCTCTCTACTCCCATCTCTAAGCAGTCTCCCATCTCGACTCCGACTAGCCCCGGCAACACTCGCAAACAGAAGGTAATGTTCTGTCAGTTTTTGTATCTATGTAGGTTAACCACCTAAACCACCAATACTCCATTTTTTCTTTACTGAATATGTTTGGAATGGCATGTTACCATACTATTTTTAGTATTTTTTGCAGTATGTTCACTTGCACAAAAATGCAGTGTAACCAGAGCACACTGCATGCTGCATGCAATACTCTATTCCATAATGCAGTGCGTTCAACTGAACCTTTATTTCCAATCCAGTATCATGTAGCCAAAAAATGTTTATTGTCATTTTATAACACTTTTTTGAGCTGTTTTGAACAGCAACACCCATAGCACACAATTTCGGATTAGGATCGATCCTGTCTGACTGATATCTGATCCGACAAAAAAGTACCTTGTATAAGCAGCATTCTAGTATTCCATTTCGGACACAGCCATACTCTAAATTAGTGTGTAAACATAACTCAAATTTGTCTTTATTTCACCTTGTCTTACCCTACCCTGTCTACACCTCTTAGGATTTATTCTTGCCTCTGTCTCTGGAAGATGATGATTCACAGGGGGAGTCCATGTAGACTCTTTCCACTTTCCGTATGTCAATCAACATGCCAATCACAGAGGTATCTCTGGTGCTATCTGTCTTGAAAACATCAACATCACCGCCCTTGTGACCAGGGTGAATGCACGCATCACCTCTGCTGCCCCGTGGCCATCAGGCTTTAGACCTTGAGGCTTTGCAGCGATGGTCAGTGTACTATTTGCTGCTTGAGAATTTGTTTTATCCATTTTCTGTGTTTTGATAATAGATTTGTAGTGACTGATGAAAAATAGTATATGCGGGGCATATGCTGCAGTTTGTATTATAACAACAAACGCCTAAATTTGTACACATGGTCTGCTGTTGAAATTCATTTTATATATATGAGAAATTTGAGAAACGTTAATGTAAACACACAGCAAGTTGGTTTAGCTCTTTATACATCCAACCATAATTTTTTTTAAACCAATAATTTTGACTTTTTCATATTACCTTTTTTAAAAGCTTGGTCTTATGAATTCCAAGCAGCAAATAGTCATTTTTAGAACAGTGTGATAGTCTGACTTGTACAAAAATGACAAAAAAAAAAAAAAAAAAACTTGTTGCACCATTAACAATTTGTATTATTCTCTTTGTGTAACCTCTTTTCTCTTTCTTGAACCTCTGTTCTCTTTCTTGCTCTCTCTCTCTCTGTGCAATGGTTTAGTGTGTTTTAAAGCCATTAAGGTTGAAATAGCGCCCACAGAAACATCCATATCTCCATATCACTGTAAATAATGTGTACAGCCTACTCTAAGACACCAACATTTATGTTTTTACATTGTTGCAATGTCTTTAAAACATAGACATAATGTTAAATGTCCATGGCTCTGCAGGTAATCATTGCAAATTGAGAGGAGAGGCCAAAAGCCATATAATAAGGTCCTTTTAGTTTAAAAAACAATCCGGTAACACTTTAACTTAAGGACCAATTCTCACTATTAACTAGCATGCATATTACTAGCACATTGGATGTTTATTAGTACTTAAAAAGCACATATTAAAGCCTTATTCTGCATGGCCATATTTTAGATCTCTTAATCCTACACTATACTTAAATTTAACAACTACCTTCCTAACTATTAATAGGCAACAAATTAGGAGTTTATTGAGGCAAAAGTCGTAGTTAAAGGGTTAGTTCAACCAAAAATGAAAATTCTGTCATTAATTACTCAGCCTCATGTCGTTCCAAACCCGTAAGACCTTTGTTCATCTTTGGAACACAAATTAAGATATTGTCAATGTAATCTGAAAATCTGAGAGCTTCATTGGCAGCAATGCAACTACCACGTTCAAGGCCCAGAAAGGTAGTAAGGACAACGTTAAAATAGTCCATGTGACATCAGTGGTTCAACCTTAATTTTTTGAAGCTACTAGAATACTTTTTGTGCGCAAAGAAAACAAAAATAACTTTATTCAACAATTTCTTCTCTTCTGTCAGTCTTCGACGTGCGTTCCTGAGAGTACCACGCCGCATGCGTGTGGTGCTGCTGACATAGAACGTCCATCTCTCTTAGTTCATCGTATGTATATTTTGGTTTGAATAAGTAAGGCTGTGCAAAAAAATGCAAATCATTCTCTCTGTCAAAATTTTCAGACATGTTTACAAAGACTGTTTTATGTACAACGTGTGTCTTCCTCTGCTTGTAAACAAGGCACAGGGCATCCGAGTTCAACATCAGAACGCCGGCTCCTGAGTCCTGCGTCAGCAGCACCACACTCATGCGCCGTGGTACTCTCATGAATCGAAGACTGACACGGAAGAGGAGAAATTGTTTAATTAAGTAATTATGTTTGTTTTCTTAGTGCACAAAAATTATTCTCGTAGTTTCATAAAATTGAACGTGGTAGTTGCGTTGCTGTCTATGGAGGGTCAGAAAGCTCTCGGATTTCATCAAAAATATCTTAATTTGTGTTCCGAAGATAAAGGTCTTACGGGTTTGGAACGACAAGAGAGTGATTAATTAATGACAGAATTTTCATTTTTGGTGAATTAACCCTTTAATAGTTAGTTAATAGTGAGAATTAAAATAAAGTGTGACCACAATCACATTAAATTTTGAAAAAGGTAAAATTACCTAATTAGGTAATAACAGCAGCAGATTTATTTTCTGTTCGAAGGGATTTGATTAAGGAAATAAGAAAATGAAAATCAGTATGACTTTGTTTCTAAAATAACAACAACAAAAAAAAGAATAAAAGGTGGTCCATTCAATTAATGCATCATATTCCTTCTAAACCATATAATTGCTTTGTGTGAGGAACTGACCAAAAGTCCTTATTCACTGAACACCTTTCTCTCTGCTGAAGCTCTTTAATGGCATTCACAAGAAGAGGCTGCAAGGTTTTATGTCATTGGTTGTTATTTGTGTTATAACCAATTGTGACATCAAATTTGAATAAGTAAGATTATCAGTGAATAATTACTTCTCTTTTTTTCTCAAACAAAGCTATTATAAGTCATATGAACCACTTTTATGGTGCTGGTTTGAATCTCCAAAAAGTTTTTTAATGAAAAGAGTAGCATGAACATTCTTCAGAATTTCTACTTTGCAAGATTAAATGTCATACAGATTTAGAGAGACATGATGATGATGATGATGATGATGGCAATTTTCATTTTTGGCTGACTATTCCTATGAGTTCAAAAATGTCTTGTAAGGTACAGTGTCATTTTTCAGAAAGCCAAAGTTATGATGAAAAGAGGGAAGCTGAAAAACAATATTTTCTCTCCCCCAGTGGTGATGTACATATTGGAGTTTCTCATTCAAAGCTTTCATTTGAAGATAAACAGAACATCACACCTGAACATTTACATATTTGAAAACCAACGATATGATAATGTAATTCAATGTATAATAGCAAAATGCATAATTTCTCAATTACAACATCACAGTGATCTCTGCAAGTATTGTGATATCTGTTGATTATCTCTTTGACAGACAAAAACCTAGCATAACGAAACTGCACAAACAGACAAACCCTTTGATGATATATATATATAAATATATATATATATACACAATTTTCCATTCTTCTAATTTCCACTGAATATTCTAGAACTATAAGTGTCTCCAGTTAATTTTTAACCTTCCATGGTGCCTTTTTTTCATAAAGGATGGTTTTAAAATCAAAACAAACAAAAAATCTTCAAGAAAACAAAAAAAAACCACTCACTTGTTACTTGTTTACTGTATCTTTTGGCATTACTTGATATGAAGTGGGGCTCAAACATTAACTATAACTACACACTCTGTAATCTGTTTCTGTAGTAGTTTATCAGGGTAATTATTTAGACATGGTGCAGATGCTCTCTTTTCTCCTGTAGTACTGTAAACACAGTTGTTTGTGTACTGATATTTTTGGGCTTGGGGACATAAAAAAAAAAATACAGACTTCCTCTCTGACTATCATGTACTTCCTGCTGTATCATTGTGACTTGTTTTGGTGATGTCATTCTGTCTATTAAACTTCTCTCTTTACTATTAAAATGAAATGAAAATGCTCTTCCTCTCCTGTTTTGACTGCAATAATGCTCATAGATGTCTTTGTGGTGTTTTTTTTCTTTCTGTTGGACATTTTGTTTCTTCACTTAGCTCTAAGCACATCATTTACATTCATGGCGTCATTTTCCCACTTTACATGCCTAATTTAAAGGGACCATGAACTAGGGTGACCACCTGTCCTGCATTTTGTGGCACAGTCCCTAATTTGGGAGCTTTGTCCCATGCCCTGCAAGATGTAAACAGTGTCCTGCATTTCAATTTTGTCTGTATTATTTTTTCACCACAATAAGAAATATGGTTGAAAAAAAATGTTTTGATTAACATTTAAATCCATTTGCGGAGCCATCATATTCTAGCTATAGCATGAAAATAGTCAACCAGCACATTCATAGAGAGGATATTTCTGCTGATGACAACCGCGTAAATGGAGCAAAGGAGTCAGTGTGGACCTCATCAAAAGTTGTTCAATAGAGCTACATCAGCCAGGACTTCTTCAAGATTGGATAAGAACATCCTGATCAAACTTACCAGATCCAAAAATAAATAAATACACGTTTAAGATGAATCCAGTAAAATGCATTTAATGTTTGTATAGTCTAATAAAGGAAAATAAACTAGTCACTATTTAAAGGAATTTATTTTGATATAAAATGCAATTTTTACCTACTAGCCTGTTACTCAGTTCATTATATTTAGTAGACTAGGTCCCATGGAGTAAATTACATTATATTAATTGAACCTGGGCAAATTGAGTGTCAGTCACAGAACCGGTCACAATTAATAAAGCTTGCTGGCAATTTAAAACATGTTAACATGTAAAGTAATGGCAAATAGGCTTTCCAACTATTGTAACTAAATATTTACATAGTATAATAGTTGTAAAATTATCTCTTTCACAAGTCCCGCATTGTCCTGCAAAATCACATCTATGTCCTTCAAAAGAACAATAACAAGGTGGTCACCCTATCATAAACCGAGAACTTAAATTTTTCTTGATCTTTTGAAGCACAGAATAAAAGGTCTCTACTTATAAGTTTCAGAGCTCAAAACTTTGTTAGCCAAAAAAACAAACAACAACAAAAATCGTTTATTCCAACCAAGCAGCCAAAATGATTAATTTTTATTCTTCTTACTCTTCTTTATTACATAGTGATGAATATTCACAAGATTGCCTTCACAGTGTCAGACTCTGTTCTATGTTTTGTGTGTGTTTTGCTCCCCATGTGCCTTCCGATGCCCATATTTGATTAGTTTCCTGTTCCTCCCCTGATTAGTTTAGTTCATTTGTCCCAGGTGTTCCCCATGATGTGTCATTGCTCCCAGGTGTGTCACGTGATCCCCTCCTCCTGTGTGTATTTAAAGTGTTCCCAGTCCCTACTTCTCGGTCCGCTGTTGTACGTCTTCCG